AAGATAGTTTTATTTGGTTCCTGCTTCCAGTAAAGCAGTCTATCATGATGGGATCCATACAAGAGCAGGAGCAGTAAGTTGACTGAGTTTCATCTTCACGCAGGGAGCAGGGCAGTGGGGACTAGAAGTAGGCTGTAGCTATTATTGCTCAAAGCCTTCCCCCAGTGACCTTCCTTCTCCAGCAAGGCTGTACAACGACCTCCTCAAGCATTGCCATCACCTTTGGAACCATAGGTGACATGAGTCTATGAGGGACATTTCTCATTCAAACAACAGTCCCCTAGCATCATTAACATTTTACTATTGATAATAGCATTCAAAATATATTCTCTTAGAATCTCCAGTGTATAAAAAAACATTAAAAACTTTGGGCGCCATATTGTCTGATAAATCTTCAGAACGTCTGCCTCCTAGCTGCATCTTGTTCCCTTTTGACCACGCCTCCCCCACACCCTCTGACAAACACCACTGCACCGTGTGTTTCTGTAAGTTTGCTTCCTTTGTATCCCAGCCACAGTTGTGCTCATGCACTGTGTGTGTGTGTCCGACAAAATATACTACAGATCATTAATCCATTGTTACAAATAATAGGATTTTCTTCTTTTTTATTGTTTTTGTTGAGCTATATATTTTTCTCCCATCCCTCCCATCCTTTCCCTTCTCCTTCTACCCTCTCCTATGGTCCCCATACTCCCAATTTACTCAGGATATCTTGTCTTTTTCTACTTCTCATGTAGATTAGATCCATGCATGTCTCTCTTAGAGTCTTCATTGTTGTCTAGGTTCTCTGGGATTGGGAATTGTAGGCTGGTTTTTCTTTGCTTTATGTCTAAAAGCCACTTATGAGTGAGTACGTATGATATTTGTCTTTCTAGGTCTGGGTTACAAACGTTCTTCTTTTATCAGATCAAATGATCTACTGTGTTTTTGAACCACTTTTCTTATTCATTTATCTACTGGTGCCCACTAACAAGGACTCTGTATCTTGGCTACTGTGAGTTACGTTATCATGAGCATGGAGTGAGACTAGCTCATTGACACACTCCTTTGAGGAAGATATAGACATTGGAAAAGGTCTTCTGGATCATGTGGTCATTCCATTTTCAACTTTTAAAAGAATGTGCATACAGGAGACCACTTCCTACGTATAACCCCAGCAGCACAGACATTAAGGGCCTCATTGAATAAATGGGACCTCCTGAGACTGAGAAGCTTCTGTAAAGCAAAGGACACTGTCGCTAAGACACAAAGGCAACCCACTGACTGGGAGAAGATCTTCACCAACCCCGCAACTGACAAAGGTCTGATCTCCAAAATATATAAAGAACTCAAGAAACTAGACCGTAAAAGGCTAATCAACCCAATTATAAAATGGGGCACTGAGCTGAACAGAGAATTCTCAACAGAAGAAGTTCAAATGGCCAAAAGACACTTAAGGTCATGCTCAACTTCCTTAGCGATCAGGGAAATGCAAATCAAGACAACTTTAAGATACCATCTTACACCTGTCAGAATGGCTAAAATCAAAAACACCAATGATAGCCTTTGCTGGAGAGGTTGTGGAGAAAGGGATACATTCATCCATTGCTGGTGGGAATGCAAACTTGTGCAACCACTTTGGAAAGCAGTGTGGCGGTTTCTCAGGAAATTTGGGATCAACCTACCCCTGGACCCAGCAATACCACTCTTGGGAATATACCCAAGAGAGGCCTTATCATACAACAAAAGTATATGCTCTACTATGTTCATAGCAGCATTGTTTGTAATAGCCAGAACCTGGAAACAACCTAGATGCCCTTCAATGGAAGAATGGATGAAGAAAGTATGGAATATATACATATTAGAGTACTACTCAGCAGTAAAAAACAAGGACTTCTTGAATTTTGCATGCAAATGGATGGAAATAGAAAACACTATCCTGAGTGAGGTAAGCCAGACCCAAAAAGAGGAACATGGGATGTTCTCACTCATATTTGATTTCTAGCAATAAACAAAGGACATTGAGCCTATAATTAGTGATCCTAGAGAAGCTAAATAAGGAGAACCCAAAGAAAAACATAATAGGCATCCTCCTGAATATTAACCTTCATCAGGCAATGAAAGGAGACAGAGACAGAGACAGAGACCCACAATGGAGCACCGGACTGAAATCTCAAGGTCCAAATCAGGAGCAGAAGGAGAGAGAACACGAGCAAGGAACTCAGGACCGTGAGGGGTGCACCCACACACGGAGACAATGGGGATGTTCTATCGGGAACTCACCAAGGCCAGCTGGCCTGGGTCTGAAAAAGCCTAGGATAAAACCAGACTCGCTGAACATAGCGAACAATGAGGACTACTGAAAACTCAAGAACAATGGCAATGGGTTTTTGATCCTACTGCACGTACTGGCTTTGTGGGAGCCTAGGCAGTTCGGATGCTCACTTTACTAGACCTGGATGGAGGTGGGTGGTCCTTGGGCTTCCCACAGGGCAGGGAACCCTGATCGCTTTTTGGGCTGAAGAGGGAGGGGGACTTGATAGCGGGAGGGGGAGGGAAATCGAGGCAGTGGCGAGGAAGAGACAGAAATCTTTAATAAATAAATAAATGGAAAAAAATAAAAGAATGTGCATATTATTTTCCATGACAGATAGACCAATGTATATTCATACCCACCTGGTGTAAAGGTTTCTTTTCTCACAATCGCACCAGAATTTGCTCCAGTCTTAATGATACCCCTTTCCCCCTGAGGTAAGTTGATATCACAAGTTGCTATCATATGAGACCCTATGATCTCACTGTGATATGAATTTCCATTTCCCCGATGACTAGTATATTGAACACATTTTCATTTACCTGTTTGCCATTTTTATATCTTCTTTTGAGAAATGCTTGTTCAGGTCCTTTGTTCAGTTTTAATTGGTGTTATTTTTGTCTTACTATTGAGTCGTTTGAATTTTTGATACAGTTGAGATATTCCCTTATCAGATGTATGGTTTGCAAATATTTCCTTCAACACCATAGATGGTTTCTTCACTTAATTTGACAAAATTTCATTGTCTATTTTTCCTCTGTTGCTTGTGCTGTTGCGGTCATGTGCAAAGAAATCTTTGCTGAGACCCACGCCAAGAACTCTTTCTCTTCACTCCTCTGGCAGTTGACAGCTGGAATATCTTTTGAGTAGGGTTTGTATGTGGGTTTGTGTGTGATAGGGGCTGAATTTCCTTCTTCTGCATGTGAGTTGTCTAGTTGTTTCAACCACTTATTTAGTAGCTGTCTATTCTGTTGTATGTTCTTACTACCTTTGTTGCAGGTCAGCTAGATAAACTGAAAATGTGCGAGTTTATCTCTGCCCGCTCCATCATGGTACGCCAGGGTGATGGTGTTTTGATTTCTATGGTTATTCAGTCTTTTATAGTTAAGTACAATGATGTCTTCAGATTTGTTCATTTTGTTTATGATTGCTTTGGCTATGTGGGATCTTTGCTTTTCATTATGAGTTTTTCTTTCTGTGAAAACCTCACTAGAGTTTCTATAGAGATTACATCAAGTGTGTAATCATGTTGAGTGTCAAGGTCACTTTAACGTTAGAAAATTTCCAAAGAGGAACGCAGTCTATCATTTCCACTGATTTTTGTCTTCACCAGCTTCTTCCATCCATATTTTATCGTTTTGACATACTAATGTTTTGCTTTTGATACAAATTTAGTACAGAAAATTTGATGCTATTGTGTTTTATTGTTTTCTTTAATTCATTCACAGATAATTCTTCTTTAGTATATAATAATGGTACTGATATTTTTGTAGATGCCAAGGGTCTCCCCACACAGCCCAGGATGGTTTTGAAAGCTCTATGTAGCATAGGTTGCCACAAATTCTCCTTCTTCAGCTTCCTCAGAACTGGATTATAAATTTGTAACACTATAGTCGATTCTGATTTCTAGTGTGTGTGTGTGTGTGTGTGTGTGCATACACGTGAGCACAAGTATATGTGTTGCTGTAATATAACCCCAGGGCTTTACATATTCAGAACAACAACTCTATCATTTAGCTATATCCCCGGGCCTCTGATTTTGATTTGCTAATTTTGTAGCAATTTTACAAAAAAGAAATCCCTTTTTATTTTTCAGAGTTTCTCTGTGTAACTGTCCTGGCTGTCCTGGAACTTGCTTTGTAGACCAGGGTGGCCCCGAACTCACAGAGATCTGTCAGCCTCTACCTCCCAAACACTGGGATTAAAGGTCTGTGCTGCCACTGCCTGGCTCAAAACTTTATTTCTAATTTTTTTTTTTGCTGGAGCATTTTGTGTTTTGTACACATAAGACCATATTATCTTCACAGAGAATTATTTTCTTCCTTTCCAATTTAGATGCCTTTCCTTTCTTTTTCTTGTCTTATAAGTCTATACATTTCTAATATTTTGTTTGGATATATGTGGACAGGGTGGGTCTTTGGGGGATAACTCAGCAGTTAAGAGCAGAGGATCCAGGTTTAGTTTATAGCACCCACATGGGGAAGCTCACAACTGCCTCTAACTCCAGTTCCAGCCTTCGGATGCCCTCCTTCAGCCCTGGTAGGCACTGTTCACATGTGCACATGCAGAAAAGCAGACACACACACACACACACACACACACACAAACTCTCTGATCCTAGATTTAAGGTTTTAACTTTACACAACAGAGTATTGTATTAACTTGTGATATATAGCCTCTGTTGTGTTCTTTCTGACATCCCTAATTATCGAGAGTCTTGAACACGACAGAATGCTGACCACTGGCAATGATTTGTCTGCACAGATAAAATGAAGGCATGTGCTTCTTTTCTTGTAGGGTCTTTGTTCAACTTTGATATCAGGATAATTTTGCCTCTTGGAAATATTTGTTCTTCTTCCAACTTTTTAGACAAGTTTAAGAAAGATTGGTATTCATTCTTCTGGTGTCTTAATGTATCAATTGATTGCTGTAATTTTAATTGGCTGTCATACTTAATAAACTAGCCATCATTCGTTTTTCTTGTTAGACAACAGGAAAATCAGAGTTAATGGAACCAAGGAACCTATAGAGTTTAAATCAAACCAATGGTTTGGAGCAACAGTGAGAGCTCACAAAGGAAAAGTCGTGGTGAGTATGAACGGCTCGGGGAGCTGCCTGCCTTCTGCATCCCACAGTTTCATGTTGGATCTACACACTTTCCTAGAGGGGTGAGCTGGTTGATGTGCTGGCTGCTTAAAGAATAGAGGTGTATAAAACCAGACGGTCAGTGACTGAAATTAAAGACTCCATTTTTACAAAATGTGCTCAAAGCTATAAGAAATGAAATCTTTTTTCCCTAAAATTCCAGATATTTGCAAACACTTTAAAAATTACTAAGAAAAATGGAAAATTAAAAGCGACACCCTGAAGGAGTAAACACCTTATTGTTCAAGATCAATTTAAAAGGCTATTTAAAATTGGTCCCATGCAGATCCCCCGCTAGCCAGAGAAAATATATCTAGAAAAATGACTCTATGGTTGTTTAAATATTCATCTATTATTGTGGGACAAGTTTTCTTTAAAAATACCAGCTGACCAATGTTTCTGAATCCATTAATGATTTTAAAAGCAAACAACCCTACTTTTAGGTTGGATCTCTCATCTCTCAAATGCTAGCTATGACTTTGATTTTATTTTCTTATTGTTGTTAAGAGTTATGTGTCTACATTATTGAGGAATGACTTTTTGATATATCTGGAGGGTTTTTTTTGTAAAAGGACTCAATGCAGTTGTTGGACAGAGGTCATGACAGAAGATATAAATCTATTTGTTTTTCTAGTTCTAATTTTGCCACATGTTTTTTTTTTTATTTTTGGTGGTGGATACCTGCCTAAAAGTACATTTAGTAGTCAAAGTATAAAACCCAAGGTGAAGTTCCACAGCTTCAGAATATCTGCTCTAGCTGTTCGTTGAGATGTATAGACGTTGGTTCTGGTTAATTTTGTTGTGTAATGTTTATTTTATTTGCAATTTTTTGTGCTAAATTTTATAAAACAGATTAACTAAAAGAAGAAGAAACCAGATCATGCCATGAATGAAGCATACTTTTCTCATTGTTTAAATTAACTTTTGCTAGTAAAATCCCTGATATTTAGCTAGCTAATTTGAAGGCGGTTCATTTCACCCTCATATAGTCCTTGAAATGGCATCGCAAGGCATAATTTAACGAGTATGTTTTTGATTTCATCAGAGTCCTAAAATTAGAACATGTAAGTAAGTCATCAAATAAGTATCTGATATAACAAATTACATACCATAAAACCCAACATGTAAGAACTAATTCATAATAATCTGCTATACAACTGTGTTTCAGCTTCTATCTAGAGGGTGTGGATTTAATTTCATTCAGCACACATTTATTTATTAGGGAGATTTTTACATGCAAAGCTCCATGTTTAGTGTGGCTAGCAGTTAAATAAATTCTGAGCAAGGTCTTAATGTGTGAGCGCATGTTTACATCGTGTGCATTCTTCTCCAAGGTCCTGCTTTGTATTTTACCTGGAAATAATCATTGAATAGTTTATATCATGCAGGGTTTTTGCCATTTTAGAATTGAACATATATTTATGGAATGACTGGGTAGTTCATCTCCATCAAGAAGGTTATCTGTGGCCACTGGAGTTTATCAGAGCATGTAGAATCAGAGTAGTGGTCACAATACCTTAGAAATGTGTTGTCTGCCATTAGCATGTGCTCTTTGAATGCTTGCTGCTCCTCACTGGTCTTTGACCTGCAGTTTTTTCATGAATAAAAACCATGACATCGGAACTAGTAAAATGCTATGATAAGGAGGTAGCCCACTTATGACACTTATGACAGTTATTGTTTAAAAGTCATAAGATCAGCTTCAGGGATAAACCAAGGCAGCCCACAAAACAGAGATTTATAAACCTGCATAAATCTGTTGATTTGAAAGCAGTTTAAAAAAAAAACTAATGACCAGACAATGGAAGGAGTGAGTTATTTTAGGACATAGTGTTAATTCATTTAGTGTTTGAATGTTGTTTGCTGTCACAAAGGCTTTTTTTTTTTTGAATGAATAGGAAATGTGAGGTTTTGACTTTTAGGAAATAATTTTCCTTTTTTCCTTTCTTTCTTTCTTCTTCTTTTTTTCCTTATTGGTTTTTTGAGACAGGGTTTCTCTGTATAACAGTCCTGGCTGTCCTGGAACTCACTTTATAGACCAGGCTGGCCTTGAACTCACAGAAATCCACCTGCCTCTGCCTCCCAAGTACTAGGATTAAAGGCGTGCACCGCCATTTTTTTATTTAATTAAAAATTCTGCCATAGAATAAGATCATCCGTTTGTTTATATATAGTTTTTTATAATTTTTCAATGAGCTACTATTAAAAACTAGTTGAAGGCCAGTTAGTCCACTTAACAACTTAATACAATTACCTGTAACTCTAGTTACACTAGTCAGCAATTCAAATCAAGCCATTATCTGAGAAACCTGCATCAATACTGTGTTTCTTGCCTTTGGTGTCCACAGGCCTGTGCCCCTTTGTATCACTGGAGAACTCTGAAACCTAACCCAGCAAAGGACCCTGTTGGCACATGCTATGTAGCGATTCAGAACTTCAGTGCTTATGCTGAGCACTCTCCTTGCCGCAACAGTAAGTTGTTTTTATTCCTTGAAAGTAAAATTTAGCTCAAAAGCCTTCAGGCTTGACAGCTGTGGTAGATGGTCTCTACGATTCAGATGTCTGCTCATCTATTCTATATTTGTTTATGCCTGTCATATTTTATATTGCTGTAATAAGACACCATGACTAACCTAGAGGACAAAAGAGTTTATTGGGACTTAGCGCTTCAGTGATGAGTCTATGACCATTATGGTGGAAAGCACGGCATCCAGCAGGAAGGTATGGTGCTGGAGCAGTAGCTGAGAGACTACAGCTGATCCCCAAAGGAGGCAAAGAGAGCAAGAGCTCCCAGAATGCTTTGGTTTGAAACCTCAAAGCCTGCCCCCAGTGACTTAACTCCTACAATAAAGCCACACCTCCTAGTCCTTCCCGGTTCCACTAACAGAGGACCAAACATTCAAATATATAAGCCTATGGGAGCCATTCTCATTCAAACAACCACAATTTATTTATTTTTTATTAAATTTATTTATTTTATGTGTATGTGCAGTATACCCACCACAGAACATGTATAGAAGTTGGACCATGAAGAGTTGGTTCTCTCCACTATGTGAGTCTTGGATCACCAGCCTTAGCAATAAGCATCCACACATGAGCTATGTTGCTGACTCTTCTGTATTTAAAAGTCAGTTCTAGATAGTATTTGGGAGAGTAACTGTGACCCTTAGCTGACAAATTCTATGGAAAATCCCCACTTTGTGTTCTACAGGACACTGACTGGCCAGCTTGCTTGTTAATGAAAGCATGTTAGTATCAGGGTGATCGGGCTGGAGTCATTTTTGGCTACAACATTGCTGTAGCCTTCATTCTTAATGGTGGTTGCTTTGTTTGGTAATTGTGTACCTGTTATATGCACAGGATACTTTTTGCTTAAAATGCTGAATCCTCTATATTCTCAAAAGACTACATCCACTTAGAGTCCAAATCTCATTCAGCAGTCCTAGGTTTCTTCCAGGACGGTATCCTTTCTATTTCTCTTGTGTTGGCCTGGAGCTAGCAATGGAGACCAGGCTGACCTCAGGTTACTTATTCTCCTGCCTCAGCATCTCAAGTGCTGAAAGCAAGCATATACCACCACACAATTGCAATGTTTCCTTCAAAGCAAACATTTTCCTTAGGGGCCCTGGCACTGAATTATTCTGGGAAGTCCTGACTGATAGTGTGATTACCAATTATCAGCTCAGAATTCTTTCGTAAATTCTATTTCTCCAAGTTTTTGACAGATCATTGTGAGATGTGGAGAAACAACAAAGGTACTTTCTATTCTTCTTTTTCTAATTAATGGGAACACACTGTAGAGAAGAAAATATCACTGCAAAGAATAATAGAGTAACTTATTTTAGAATGCTACTTTTTTAAAGACTCAGTCTAAAGTTATTAGAGATCATCCTAAAAAGTACAAGTAAAATTTCCCTCTTTTACATACTTATTAATATATTTTTTGATTCAAGATCAATTTGGGGAAGGCAGTAAGCAAATATTAGGATAAAACAGTGAAGACAAAGAATGGATAAGGGACTTTAAAGGGTTAATAAAGAAGCCACTGGGATTTATCGCTCCAATCCAAACCTGAACTTTTTAAACCCGAGTTTCTTGTGAGGGTTTTGGCAGGAAATGGAGTATGATTTCCTAGGTGTGAGCTGGAAGAATGGCCCGAGATTAAAGACATGGTCTTAAACAGATTTAAAATGAATGTTCTTTGTTGAGAATGAAACTCCATTATTCATTTAACACGTGCTTACTGAACTCATTGCACCAGCTATTCTATATGCAGGGAGTGAGTGTGTCAAGGAGTTAGAGAAAGCAAACCAACAGCGTCCAAAGAATGGGCATTCTGGGAGGAAAGTGAGGGAAGAAACAAATTCATACCACAATATCAAGTAGTAAAATGTTATATAAGTGAATAATTAGGTCTATAATCAACGGAAAAGGTAAAGAAATGACCGGAGTCTGGAGGAACACAGAGAAGAAAAAATCTTCAGAAAGGGTAACAGGAAAGATTTTCCAGTAGAGGGCATTGAGAGTTGGGGAAAGGAGGAATTATCAACACTGGTAACAGCCAGGAAGTGGCCATAATCCAAACCAGATAAGTGGCCAGCATTATTGCCCTGAAGAGATTCAATGCTAGACTTCTCACCAAGGCTTCCATCTGTGTGCATCCTATTCCTTGGGCTTTGCTGGAGGTTCCCTCACAACAGCAAACGATGGTGTCCTTCATGTACCCATTGGCCCTGATGACGAGACTCTTCTGGCTATCATGAAGTGTCACCGTGTCTCATTCTGTCCTCCTATTTTATGTCCTTGTGACCTGAGAGCCTGGGCTAAGTCATAGCCCACAGAATCTCAACCTGCTGGGTGCCTGTTTGAGCATGAGCTTAAACTATTTTCTAAGCGTATCATCTATAGTGTCCAAGAGTTTTGCCTGTTTCTTTATTTCTTATTTTCCCAGGTAGAGATAGATAATGCAGAGCCGATATGAAATGGAGCTTAGGCGGAGTTGTGGGAGAGTTCATTAGGAAACATTTAGCTCTAGGGCACACCAAGGCCTTTAAAACATACCCTCACACTTCCTCGTCTCCAGATCGCCCAAAGAGCTGGCTTCCTGCCATGGCTGAGAAGCTCACAGTACACAAACACAAAGCCTGCTTGTTCATGAGCCTACGGTCAATATCACAGACGGGGAATATCAGCAATATCCTTTTCAAAAGGGAACTGAAGGAAGTGTCTTGCTTTCCTCCTGTAACACAGATCCAGGGGGTACCCTGTGTGGTGCGGGCGGCAGCCTGCTCGTTTATCTGAATGGCATGCCGTCTGCTCTTATGGTCATTCATAATTCAGGTGAGGGTGGTTCTCACGGCCCTTCAGTTTATCTGAATGGCATGCCGTCTGCTCTTATGGTCATTCATAATTCAGGTGAGGTGGTTCTCACGGCCCTTCAGTTTCACTTTAGCAGCTGGCCTTTGGCAATGAATGAACGTGTCCCTGGGTCCCTGAGTTTATACTGGAGCATTCTGTTTAGAGACACTCTGAGGTTCCGGGAAGAAAGACTCCTTTGGGTCTCATAAATTACAATTCAATGAGAAAAGGGAAAGAGACTTGCTGAGCAAGGAACCCCTACTCTTCTCTAATTGCCACTCAAAACAAACACTGGGAGTTGATTATTTTCTCAAAGACGTTTTCAGTTAGAGATCTAAAAAAAAATTTTGGTGTCCTGTTTTAAAGTAAAAACTAGTCAGGTTTCTTCTCTTCTGAATAATTTATGTTATTAAAAATAAAGGACCAATTTCAAAAGTAGATTTTAAAGAAGGTTTGTGTGTTTATAAATCATTCCTTAAATATAACCAATGCAATCTACATGGGTTCACATAGACTACATCATAAGTCATATATTTCTGTATGGGTAGAAATTTTATATCATGGAACTTCTAGAAAATTGGAACCCCATAAATTGAGGTTATATAGATGGGATTTTAGGGAACCTTATAAAATTCATAACCATCAATCCTAACATACACTTGTAAAAGAAAGAATGATTTTGGTGAAAGACATTGACATACAGGTGTAAAGGAAAGAAGGAATTTGGTGAAAGACACTGTATCGGGTAGTAAGGTATTTTAAACAAAAACGGAGTAAGATTAAGTGTAGTGATTCATTCCTGTAATTCTGACTGGGAGGTAGAGCCAGGAAGAATGGGAGTTCAGGGCCATTCTCTGCTACATGGTAGCCTCCAGGGCAACCTGGGCTGCATGAGACACTGTTTCAACTAACAAACAGAACAGGAGAGACAATAGGAAAAAAGAGAGCTATGAACTGGTTGGAAGAAAGAAGATGGATAAGTTTCTAGGTAGCCAGAAGAACCAGGTGCGTTTGAAAGATACTCTGGGACGGGGCATGCCCAGCCAATTGGAATTTCCTACCGTGATGCTGGCTCCTTTCTCTCACTGAAGTAGCACTTAGATGACATCCTCAGTAAGACACGTGGAATCATTAACATGCTTTCATCTAACTGAGATAACAAAGAGGTCTCCCCTATTTAATTTTTGTCTATAATTCAAGTATGTTAGAAGGAGGGTTTTGCTTCTGCAAACTTTAGCATTGCAATGCCCCTGTGAGACCATGAGAACCAGCAACACAGTTTTCAAATTATCCTACCTGTCACAGTATAACAATTTAAAATCATGTTCCTTTTAAAGAGAATGAGATGGCAGTAAGAGCTGGAGATGCAGCTCTGTGGGTGGAGAACTTGGGTAGCAGTTGGGAAACCTGGGCTTGGGTCCTACTGCTACATTAATAGGATGGACTACTTGACGCTTGTGATTCCAGCACTCGGGAGGTAGAGACAGGAGGTTCAGAAGTGCAAGCTCATCTTCAGCGGCATAGAGAGTATGAGGCCAGCCTGTACATGAAGAAGGCAAAGGAAATCTTTAGCAGTTTCTCTGCAGAAGGCAGGCACTCGGGGGATCTTCACACGTTGTCACTGGAGAAATGCAGACAGGAGGGGACGAAGGAGACATTATTGCCACATGGACATTTGGGGACATAGTCAGAAGATGGAGGTTTTATTTTGGAAATGAATCTGCATACGCACCCCAATACAAATCCATACTTTGACATGTTCCCTACCTGGAGAAGGGCTTCTGTGCCTTGTGCTCAGTAGAACTAATGTCATAACCTCTCACGTTGATTTCACTGCTGCATGGATGTGAGAGTCAGGATCAGAAAATAGATGGAAACATACTTAAGATTGCCTAAAATACATTTAAAAAATAAAACACAAAATGGTCTCTTTGATTTGGGGTATATGGGGAAAACAAAAAATATCTGTATTACTTACTAAAATACTTCTCCGAAATGATGATGTTATAGTGGCTATTTGTTTTGATCATTCCAGGCAATGCTGATCCTGAGGGCCAAGGTTACTGCCAAGCAGGCTTTAGTCTGGACTTCTATAAGGTAACTCTTTTGCTCTCTCAGCGTCTGTGGTTGGATGAATTTTCCTGTCATTGTGGTTACTGTTTGATTTTCTGTCTGTCATTCCGATACAAACAATAACATCCAGAGAAGCTTTGGGAGCATATCATGTCTGGCAACTTCTCCTTGAGTATTTTTTTATTTTTTTCCTACTCACTTTTTATTTCTGTTTAAATATATGAACATGATAATAGTATGGGAAAGCATCCAATGAAGGGACTCTTCCTTCCCACTCCCAGCATTAATCATTTTGAAAGCAAATCTCAAAAATGAATTTTTTTTTTTTTTGGTTTTTCGAGACAGGGTTTCTCCGTGGTCTTTGGAGCCTGTCCTAGAACTAGCTCTGTAGACCAGGCTGGTCTCGAACTCACAGAGATCCACCTGCCTCTGCCTCCCGAGTACTGGGATTAATCAAAAATGCATTTCTAAAAAATTACAAGAATCTATAATTCTGTCACTTTATCACTTAGCTGTAATTGGCTCCTTTAATTTCATATTCATATTAAAATGTATATAGTCATTCAGAAAATAGAGATCGTTTGATGAATATATAAAAGAAAATGATTCTATGCTTTTGAAATTAGTAGAGAGAAATTCCATAAACATTCTCTGTTTCACTATTGGTCATTGCATTTTCTATGATTGTTCGCTTTGACATTTTTCCCCAGCAAGTTACAGACCGAAGCTAGAGAACAGGGCTGCTCTCACTTGCTAATCTGGAGTTTTTGTTTTTCTTTTGAAAAAGGGTGTGTTTACAGATTTTTTTAAAAATATGATTTTACATTTCTTTACTTATTGGAGAGAAGGGTTTTTTAGAGTGTGGAGGAGCTCAGACAACAAACCTGGTGACTATTTCTCTTCTACCACGTGAGTTTTAAGAATCAAATTCAGATTGTAGAGCTGATGATAAACACCTTTGCCTGCAGAGAGCCATCTTGCTGGAAATATATATATATATATATGCATCATTGTTGCCTTGAAAATAACTGAAATAAGTTTTTGGGTTTTTATTACTAACGTTTTCAAAAGACTATGCCCATTCAGCTGCAAACAATGTGCAGGCCTTGTAGCTCCAACAGTGACAGCCCTTTCCCCCAAATTTATATGTTCTCAAGAGAGCAAGGTGAACATGCCTAACTGAGTCAAACTAAAATTATTTAGCATAACAAACTAAATAATTGAAAGCGGGGAAGAGAAGAAAACAACCTCCAGGCCTCAGGTATAATGAAAGTGTGGTTTAAAGTCCTCTTTAAGAACGAGCAGTTTAAAGTCCTCTTCAAGAAAGTGTGGTTTTGCGAAAAATAAACTGTTAGAGCACTGCTTGTCAGCAGTGACTCAACGCTCTTTAAAACACTTGGATTCTTGTCCACAAGTTCCCTGGATGCTTCTGTTTTGCAGAATGGAGACCTCATAGTGGGAGGACCCGGAAGCTTTTATTGGCAAGGTATGTTCCGTATCAGAGAAGAGCACCCGTGTTGTTGCTAACACAGGGGAACAGCAGTAGCACAAACGCTGACCTTCTCTAGTGACGATGGAAACCTCTGCTCACACTTTCTTGACTGAAGCATCATTGCACTTTGCCCTTCATTGTCCAAATGATGTCTCTGAAGTGTCATTCAGTCTGCTACCTATTGCTCTGCCAAGAATTATTGAGGTTATGCCGGGCTTTGCGTTAGGTGCTGAGAACAGACAGCAGGCTTGTGGGAACCGTGCTAGCACTCACGGACTTATGATCTTGAGTCAGGGTCAGAGATAGATGTAAACCGAAAATTGTTTTTATGGATATACATATTTTTCTCTAATCTTGATTAATTTCATGTTGGTTAATTAATTGGTTAATTAATTTTGTCATTTAAAGTAGAAAAATATCTCACATGAATTAATAATCATGTAAGAATACAGAAAAACTTATCTGAGATGCAGAATTTAAAATCTTATAGATGCTTGAGATGTTTACAGACCTAGCTTACAAAAACAAGGAATTGTCCTGCTGTGGAAGGAAGGAAGGGGAATGCAGAGCTGAAAGTCAGAGAAAACTGGCAAGTTTGACATTCTTCCTAAATTCGTGTGTAAATCTCATTATCTTGATATCAAAGCATTCATTCATCCCTATTACTCAGAAATATTTACAACCTGGTTTGACTGGATTTTATTCTTTTCTTGGGAAAAGACTGGGAATTCCCAAAGAATAACGTAGCTTTAGATTGGATGTTAAGTATCATGCTTTAAAAAGCATATTTTCCATCTTGCCTCAAAGGGCATGGGATAACATTTTTGCCTTAGATGTCCACACTAAATATTCTGATGCATAGACTTTTCCATATAATGATGGATTTTAGATATTCATGTGTCCCAGTACAATCATATCTCAAGACTCCTGAAAGTGGTTTTGGGAGCCAATGCTCTTATCAATGTTGGTGGTCATGAATATTTTTTTTTGTGTGTGTAAAATTTTAGATCTCATTGAACACAGCTGCTTTCTATTATCATAATTTTATGTTTCCTTTATATAGTTTTGCAACAAATGTAAATGCCTTGAAGATTTATTAGATCCTTCCTTTAACTTAGCTGAGATCTTTACAATTTGTCAAGTAAGAGAGTTCCACATAGATTCTTTGCAAGGAAACAAAACTCTTTATTACAATGCAAAAGAGACTTCAGTTCTAGAACTGCTAGCAAAACTGTGACTTTGCAGAATGGCATCAAGTTCTTTGAGCATAGATATTTATGTATGACTTGGTTGATGATAAATTTCCTTCTGGCTTGAACATTATTGTTTTGTTTTGTTTTGCTGTTTGCTTTTGAGACAAGGTCTCATGTAGCCCTGCCAGGGCCCAAACCCATTGCATAGTCCAGGATGACCTTGAACTTCTGATGCTTCTGCTTCTACTACTGAAGTGCTGGGATTAGAGGCATGCATCTCCCTGCTCAGTTTTATGCTGAGATGGGAATTGAACCCAATGCGTGCTAAGTAGGCAGTGGATGAAATGAACTCCACCCTCAACTCTAGAATGCAAATTTAAATATAAATTTCACTTGCAAGTGTCCTTATTCTTTTATGCTTGTATCATTTGAAGGTAGAGAGGGGATAGACATTAAAAGTCGGGGAAGAATGGATAAAACACTGCCGTTTATCTCTGGCCTCCACTAGATTGGAAAGTTCTACCCACTCGGTTATAACTGACCTCTGCCTGACAGTTCTTGGGGCAGACATTCAGGAGTGTGCGGTATGGTTCCAGGATTGCTGAGTAAGAGCCTGCCCCTCCCTTACATCCATTCAGTTGACGTATTACTTTGTTCACACACAGGTCAGGTGATCACTGCCAGCATAGCCGATATCATAGCAAATTACTCATTTAAGGATATTCTAAGAAAGCTGACAGGAGAAAAGCAAACAGATGTGGCTCCAGCTTCCTACGATGACAGCTACCTTGGTAAGAACCATTGCTCCAGGTATTGGTACTTTCTCACGAGGCAAGCAAATTAAATATACGTGAAATGTTTGGTCCTGATTTATCCGATGTTAGCGGACGTCTTTTGAATGTTTTCTTTCTTATTATTTTGAGTAGACCCTTACATGTTCTTTTTCACCACAACTTTTTTTTCCCCAGATAACATATATCCCATACATGACTTGGGCTGCCATTTTGTAGGTGCTTTAACATTCTCATAAAAGATCACTGGAAGAAGACATTTGTATTAGCAGGGCTTCTGCTCGTGCTATGGGCAATGTGATAGCAGGCCTGTCCAGTTTCTACAAAACCAAAAGAATCTTTCTTTTCTTTTTTAAAATTGATTTTTATTGAGCTTCAAGATTGTTCTCAAATTGTATCATGTGTAAGCCATATAATAGCCTTCTACCATTACTGATACTCGCCTTTGGTATCCAACCAATTTTGATTGCTTTATGCACTGAAAAGTTAAATTATGGCTTTGTTTTGTCAATGTAAATGGAACCTTGCTTTTGAGCTCAGTGACATCTGTGGGCCACAATCATGAAAGGAATTAAGAAGTAGTTCATGATGATGATCATCAGCAAGACCTGAACACAAAGGATATCTCATAGGAATTGTGCTTGATAGTGATGAACTTACAGCTCTTAAAATGCAACAGCTGCTACTCCCCCTTAAAGGGGGTTATGGACCATTCTTTGAAGGCTGATCTAAGAATCTGACTTACTTATTTTGGTTGTGTTTTTATTTAAGATCTGTGTGGCAGATCTTCTTTATAACTGGGAATTAGTCTGAAAGTGTTAATATTTCTGTGATTATTTTTTTCCCGCTTAACGAGTCCTTATTTGTTTAGATATTTGTAGAGGTTTTGAAATAAAATAGCACCATGATAGAACTTTCATTGTTTTCAAATTACAACTCAGTTCTTTCCAAATGCAATTTGTTTGTTTCTTTTATTCAATCTAGGCTATTCAGTTGCTGCTGGAGAATTCACTGGGGACTCTCAGCAAGGTAAGAGACATTGTTAAACTTGTCATTTTAAAAGTGTGGAGTAACGGTAAATGGCATAAGAAGTCTTATTGTAAATGTTATTGATTTTCTTTGCTACACAAGAATTTATATAGATGGAATACATACATACATACATATACACATAGGTGTGTGTGTGTGTGTGTGTGTGTGTGTGTGTGTGTGTATAAACAAATTGTCTTTAATCTCAGAGATTATACTATACTGGGTCTGACAGACAGAACACCTGCCAAAAACTGTGATTAGCACTAGTGATTAGCATTACGCATAGAGAGTAAAGACTGTGGAAATGAGGTGCCTACCCGTGTAGATGAGGGGAGATTTCTACAAGCTAAGTTGTATAAAAGATTGAAGTAGTTAGGAAATCCATCAGCCTAGCCAGACTTTTATACTTTGATGGTTAAGGGATTGGAATAGAGAAAGGGAAGTAGGATCAGCTCACACTGGGTCTTATGGATCATAAAGCTCTAAAATTATAGGAAGAGAAATAACAGAAGATTTAAGCAGAGGAGGAAATACCATCTAAAACAAAACAAAAACAAAAGGAAGGAAATCACACTGGTTATTTCATGTAAATTTTCTTGGGAAGAATGGTTTGATGATATAATATATTTATGTTCATGTCTGTCTCCTCGAATCTAAGGCCTATGTCTTACTGTTATTTATCTTGATTCTAAAGACTAGACAATATTCTTTTCATAAAAGACTCAGAAAATAGCCTGAGAGTAAGAATTTGAGTTAGTTTTAAATTCTGACCTCATAAACAGTATTTTTTTTTTAGGATAGTACAACCTCTCTGATTCTTGTTTGCTTTAAAATCTGAATAATATTAATGGTATGGGGCCTGAATGACCATGTTGAATATTGTATTAAAATGCATGCTACATTCAAGGCGAAACAGGAGCTTTTACTGAACTAGTGAAATGTATTGAACGAATCAACTGTCAATCAATATTTGCCAGTTTCCATCTTGTTTGTTACCAACAATAACTGCTTTTCCCTACTACATGAGTTTGACTAAAGCACAGATGTTCAAGCTCAAATAAAATATGGCTATCTTTATGAATCATAACAAATCTTTTCATTGTTTCATATTCACATGGACACAAATCAAAATTCGCTATAAATGTTTTTGCAGTTTGGTAAAAGTTCAAAATAATCAGGTTTCTAAAAAGGAATGCTCCTCTTTAAATAAAAGCTAATTCTTAATGAGCCTCCTTTTCCATTACCTTTCTTTTCGAGCTATGTTCATGTCTGGTTTCTTGAATGTAAAACCCATGTCTTATTGTTATTTGTCTCCATTGAAAGACTAGACAATACTTTGTTCATGAAAAACTCATAAAATAAGTAGCTTGATAGAAAGAATTTGAGTCGATTTCAGATTCTGACATGAAAAAGCAGTATATTAATCTGCGTGTGGTGGAGCACGCCTTCAATCCCAGAACTTGGAAGGCAGCGGCAGGTGGCTCTCTATTTGCTCAATGCCATCCTCATCTGCACAGGGAGTTCCATAGTAGCTAGGGTTATACAGAGAGATCCTGCCTCAAAAATAAACAAATAAACACAGTATATTGTGGTAACAAAAGGCACAGACTTTGGCTCCAGACCTTTAGCTCTCTACCCTTCATTGCTACTAGTTCTTAGACCTGAGGCAAATTATCTACCGTCCCGGCTTCCACTTCCTTATTTCTCAAATATAGGTAATAATAATAGTATTGTTTATTTCATAGGATGCTTGCAAAGATTAAATCATGTACTTCTATATATTAATAAAGCAGTACAGTGATTAGCTATAGGAAAGATTCCGTAGATTGGAGGTCATCAGGGACAGATCTGAATAACTAGTGATTTTTTAAAGAAGTCTAATCTTTAAAGTTGGGCAGTGGTGGCGCACGCCTTTAATCCCAGCACTCGGGAGACAGAGGCAGATGGACCTCTGTGAGTCTGAGGCCAGCCTGGTCTACAAGAGCTAGTTCTAGGACAGGTTCCAAAGCTACAGCAAAACCCTGTCTCAAAAACAAAACAAAAACAAAAGTTTTACTACTGGTTTCATGGTTTAACAAAGGGGAGTGCAAAGTGTGTGAATGATTTTCTTCAATTCCATGGCACTGGGCTCCTATAACTGTCCAAAATAACACTCAGTTCCCGCCCAAGGAAACAGCAGGGTGTGTAACCACTCTAGTGGCTATCAGTAGCTTCCACTGGATTTTAGGAATATCTAGAGAATGCACTCAGACATTGAGCTGAGGATTTGTAAAGCAGAGGCACTGTTGAAGACATCTCACACGTTCATCAGGGCACTGGATCCATGGCTGTCTGTGCTCGTTAGCAAGTGGGGGAGCTCGATGAAAGGGAACTTGAGGTACTAGAAGATGGTTCAGTGAGCAAAGGGCCTGATGCACAGAGTGAAGACCTGAGTTCGAATCCCTGGCTCCCATGTAAAAAACAAGGTACAGCTGCAAACACCTGTGATGCCAGCACTGGGGCAGAGATGGGACTCCTTGAGGCTCAGTGACCAAAGTCTTAGTAAAAGGGTAAGCTCTAGGTTCCATGAGAAACACTGTCTCCTAAAACTAAAATGGAAAACGATAGAGGACTATACTGGATTTCAACCTTTAACCTCCTTACATGTACTTGTGGATATGCACACACCCACCACACACACACATACAAACACACACATGCAAAATAAATAGCAAGACAAAGAAGAATGAGGAGAAGAAAACTAATTCTATGAACTTTAAATGTGAATTCTTAACTTGGAATTCTTGGTCAGCAGGATTGTTCAAGGTCAATCAGCAATTGTTCCACATGTGGGCCTCAGCATGATTGACCTTCTAAGGATGTATCTTTGTGGCAGTATAAAAGAGGTTCCCAAAGTGGAAGTTAGCAAAGCCTCTGTGACGTTTAGATCACACACTGACCCGCAAAGAGGGGAGGAAATCCTAAAAGGCAGAGGAGTATACTGTCTAGTTCGCAAATTGCAGCAGCTCAAACTGTGACTTTTGCTTGTTTGTTTTCTCTCATCTGTAAAGAAATATCGGGAAGAAAGCAAGTGCAAACCCTTGTAACCCTCTCCATCACTCATCTCCATGGCCCCATCTTTACCCTCTCCATCACTATCTCCACAGCCCCAACTTTACCCTCTCCATCACTCATCTCCATGGCCCCATCATCTTTCCCCTTGACCGCTAAACAGCTTTAAATACACTAGGAGCTGAACAGAAGACTCAGTTGTTAAAGAACAGCTCATTCAAGCATAAGGACCTGATCTCGAGCCTCAGAACCCATGTAACATAGACAATGTGATGGCTTGTGCTTCTAATTCCAGAGCTGGGGAGGCAAAAGCGGGCAGATCTCTGTGGCTCACCAGCCAGCCACATAGCCAAAATAATTTCATGAGCTTCATGTCCCAGTGAAAGGCCTTGTCTCAAAAATATAAGGTGGATATCTTCTGAGGGAAAAACACCCAAGGTTCTACTCTGGCCTTTTGATGCCTGCTTACATGTGCAGCCCATATGCATGAATACACATATATAAGCACACTAATTAATCAATTAATGTGGCTCCCCCTCTAAATTACTCTTCTTATTCCCAGAATTGGTTGCTGGGATTCCAAGAGGAGCGCAGAACTTTGGATACGTGAGTATCAATGTATAGCCCACACATGTTCTTTGTGCACTGAAATATTTTTCCCATGTAAGCCACTGTAAATGTTCCTTACTAATGAGTTCCGACCACAGAAGTGTACTATTTCTCTGCTCATCCCAATAGGAGATAAATGCAACTATATTGACGCATGGTTTCTGGGGATCCATGTGAAACAAAAATGTGGGGTGCACTTTTTGCAAAGAATCACCATTATCCAAAACATAGAAAATTTTCTTCTACATTTGTATTTCCTCCTTTCACAAAAGCTACCCAAAGGGTGAACTTTTCTCCAAGTCCCTAACTTATTCCTCTACAAAGGTATTGCACATTCTGAAGTGTTAGGTTTGAGAGGATAATACTTAAGACCCTCATAACTGGTTACCATGAAGTTAGAAAAAAAGATGCATAGAACGAGGTCACACAAAAATGGCTCACAGGATGAGAATGATAGCTCAGTTAGTTAAGTGTTCACTGTGAAAGCAAGAGGACCTAAATTTATCTTCAGAATCCATGTAAAACGACTCAGACATGGTAATCCCAGCATTAAGGAGGCAGAAACAGGCTGAACCCTTTAGGACTTGCTGGCTAGTCTGCTTAGTTCAACTGGTAAGCCTCAGGCCAAAGAGAGATGCTGCCTAAAAGAACTAGGTTGATGTCTCCCAAAAAAATGACATTTGAGGGTGACCTCTGACTTCCACATGCACATGCATACATATTCATTTGCACCCATACAAACATATGCATGCAGTCACACGAGGATTTAAGGTGGGCATGGCGGTGCTATCATTCTACCACCCAAGAGGTTGATAAGTCAGAAGAATCCAAAGTCTGAGGTCAATCTGTCTTACACAGGAAGTTCCAGATCAGTTTATCTTCTAAGTGAATCTCTGTATCAAAAAATAAATTAAAATAAAAACGGTCTAGGCAATATACAATTTGTAGGTTTATGTTTGGCTAAATAGAATTAAAGGTGACATTATTCTATGTAAATAGCATTAAGAAAGGTTATTTTCCCAAAGAGCCATTTATCAGTCCTCATAATAGCATAAGCATAGATATTTGTTTAGAACAAAATCAAGCTCAGACAAATTAACTGATCAACATGTTAACTATTGCCCATATCCTTGCATTTACCTATTTTCCCTTTTTAGAATCATAAGCAAGTTCCACTGTCTTTTTCTAAAATTATTCTTGGTGGCCTATAATTTTGCAACTTCTACACATGGCTAACCAACTATTACATTTCATAAGAAATTTGAATGATTTAAGTTTCAATTGTTTAAAAACAGTTTCTCCGATTCTGTGAGATGATGTATTGTCTTGCTTTTGCAATTTCAGGTCTCCATCATTAACTCCACAGATATGACCTTCATTCAGAATTTTACTGGTGAGCAGGTAAAGACTTTTCAGTTGTTGTTGTTTTGAGACAGAGCCTCATTCAAACTATCTTGGAATTCACTGTGGAGCCCAGGTTGGTCTTGAACTGCAGTTTTCCTGCCTCACCCTCCCAAGCACTGGGATTATGGATGTTTACAACCACATCCAGTCTTAGGGAAAGACATTTTAATGCAAAACAACTAATGTTCATATCATGTAGTCATTCATTCAGGAAATAACATGGATATAATGGTGCACCTCAATTGACTCAGCTTCAGATAGTGGTTTGAAGAATATGTATAAGTATAGAATTATACACTATGGTGGGGGTAGTACAAAGGCTGGAGGCCTCTACAACAGAAATGCCTAAGCAAAGCCAGGGGCAGAGAACGCGAAGGCTTTCACACAGGAACTAGTTGGGTAAATCTGACGTTTCTCAGGGCTACAGGGGCTATAAGCAAGCAAGATATAAGTCAGAACTAAGGGTTCTGGTAAAAGACATGACACCTACTACAAGCTCTAGTCCAGAATCTTCTAGTTTTAAGGGTTTCCTTTTTTGCCATATCCACTTACAAAATTAAGCACACATTATGAAGTTAATACTAGCTACCTGAATTGAGCTCTTTTTATGTTTTTGTGGTGCTGGGGATGAAACACAGGTCCTTGAACACATTATCTATGGGCTCTATCTGAGCTAACCCAACCTCTAGTTCTTATTTCTTTTGATAGTCTCACTATGTAACTCAAACTCCCCTTTCCTCTGCCTCTCATATGCTTGGACTATAAGCATGAACCACTAGGCCCAGCATGAGCTCTGGTCTTTCAAGGTATAAGAAAGGCAAGCCACAGGGAACCTCTTGGTAGCAGAGAAAGGACTCCATGTTCTGTCAGAATAATAAACCCTTGACCACTATATAATGCATTTAAGACTAAGACTTAATTCAAGTCATGGAAGGAATAACCCAGGGTCTTTTTTTAAAGGAAAGAATTGTTTGTTTATTATTATTATTTTAATTTTTCATATATTTTATCATATTCCTTCCCCTCCCTCTTTCCCTAGTCCTCCTCACCTCCTTACCTACCCAACTTCATGCCCTCTCTCTCTCTCTCTCTCTCTCTCTCTCTCTCTCTTGCTGTCTCTCAAAAAAAAAAAAGAAAAAAAAAAGAGAAAATCGAAACAAAACCTTTAAGACTAGGGTCTTAATGAGGTGGCTAAGTAATTACTAGTGATAAATGACAACCACAGGTATACCTGGCTCTGAATGCTGGGACTAGCTGGAAATGGCAAAGAGACCATTTGATGTCAATTCCTGAAAGTCCTCAAAGAAGGAGAGAGCTTCCTGTCAGTGGTGTGTTTGGGTAGATATGTATACATGTGTTCATGTGTGTGTGTGTGTTGGAGGGATGCTGAAGAGAGAGCAAATCAAAAACCTCCCTTTTAATCCAGAAATTCCTGGAAAAAATACTAAAACGCTGAACCTGATAGAAGAGAAATTGGGAGGTACCCTACAACAGATGAGCACAGGCGATCGCTTCCTAGGTATAACCCCAGAAGCACAGACATTAAGGACAACACTGAATAAATGGGACCTACTTAAACTGAGAAGCTTCTGTAAAGCAAAGGACACTGTCACTAAGACAAAAAGGCAACCCACTGACTGGGAGAAGATCTTCACCAACCCCACAACTGACAAAGGTCTGATCTCCAAAATATATAAAGAACTCAAGAAACTAGACTTTAAAATGCTAATTAACCCAATTAAAAAATGGGGCACTGATCTGAACAGAGAATTCTCAACAGAAGAAGTTCAAATGGCCAAAAGACACTTAAGGTCATGCTCAACCTCCTTAGCGATCAGGAAAATGCAAATCAAAACAACTTTGAGATATCATCTTACACCTGTCAGATTGGCTAAAACGCAAAGAAATTTAAGTTGGGTTTCTTTCTTCTCTATGTGTGTTGTCAAGGACTGCAGGAAGGAAAGAGTCTCCGGATGCATTTAGTATTTAGGATTCGTAGCTTCCCTCATTGCTAGCCAATAAGCCAGGTTTCTACAGCACAGCAGACTGTAAGCTCAAAAGCAAAAACTCACCAGATGATGAGATGGCAGAACAATCTCATTCTATTGTAAATGGTGTTCAATGTACCCAAGCTCTCAGAACCTACTTCCCTGTGACAGGAGACCTGCTGCTCCCAGGGCCTATTGGCCTATTGGCCAGAGTGGATGGCACTGGCTTCTGCTTCTCTTCCTCACTACACCCAAAGCCTTTCTCTGAGCCTCAACTTTATATAAGTCCTGAAACACTGCTGTCTTGTGTCCCTTCCTTGAAGAAACTAGGCATTTATCTCTATACCCTGTCCTTAACTGAGACGCTCTTGTGAACAGTTCAATGGTCTGAATATAGGATGCTACCACTTTCCCAACCAAATATGGTCTGATTCCTATGTTTCTTTAGGTATTGTGACCTGGTGAAATTTTCCACTTTTTTTTAAGCACTGAAGGTAACCCTGCCCTGTAGATGAGACATGTCCAGAGAATCAATTAGGAAAGGTTTACAATAGATAAAAAGAGTTTTCATACTATGTTGTCAAAATTTGAGGGCTCAGGTACCCCTTGCTATAAAATTTTCAAAAAGGAATTTCATTCCTCTCCTGAAATCTTGTTAGGTGGTAGGATAAATGAGGCTGGGGTGAGATTGAAGGTGGGTGGGTTGGTAAATTTCAGTGGTCCTTCTGCAGGGATTTTATATCACAATGGAGTATATTCTGGTCCACACATTGCTCAGGCATTGCAGGAAGGAGAAAGCTCAATACAAACTGAAGTCTGCCTTCCTTGGAACATAGTCTCTGTGGGCTGTATTTTCAGTGAATTAGTGGCGGGTGGGAGATTAAATCAGCTAAAATATCAGATTGTAGACTAAAGAAACAAAAATGAAGCTAGAGTGTTCGGTAAGATGTTTGTGCTGCAAACACAAGCGTTTGATTTTCTGTTTCCTGTACCCACCGTGGGAGGGGAAGGCACAATGGTAAAAGCCTATAACTCCACTTCTGGGGAACCAGAGGAAAGAAAATGCTGCCAAGACAGTCTAACCTAATTAGTAAACTCCAGATTCGGTACGAGTCTGTCTCAAAAAAAATACGGTAAAGAACAATTAGAGAAGACACCCAACTGTTGACCTCTGACCTCACCCACATGTGCATACACATGGACCCGCATCCATGCATGAGCGTGGAGACAAACACATACACACATGAAGAACAGCATTAGTGGGATGAAATGGTGAGCTAGACAGAAAAGAATTATAAAACTGTTTAAAAACAGCTCTGAGGGAAACTGAGAGATTATTCTACAGCATTTCCAGTCACTGAAAAGATTTAAGAGTCTTATTAACTATGATCTCACTATAATTTGGTGAATTGTGAATTTCCCTAAAATCAAAATCATTTTGTGATTTAATAATAGAGAGGCCAAACCAGATAGTGCAATCCCTGCTTAGATCTTCTACCACTGTACTTACAAGTACCATATGTTCTTTGAGTCTGTGTGTGGAATCTCAGTGTCGGACAGTGTAGCATCTGAAAATGCCCTGAAATCCTCCACACATGGTGGAGTTGAGTTAATTCTACAGAGTTCAAGATGGCTAAACTAAGTCAAAGCAATAGATAGATATCCCAAAAAAACTACAAGTGGCAAAGACCTTCCTAACAGCTGTGTCCACCAATTAAAGAGGCCTAATGTATCCAGAGGCCATGCAAGCGGATGTCAGGGTTATTGTGGAAGGAATTATTCATTAGGCCAGAGGTTAGACTAAATGACTTGAACACTTGGAACAAGTTCAGGGGTCTATGTGTTTAAATGCAAAAATGTACCACAGTGCAAGTCATTTCTCATGAATAATTAAGAGGTGACTATAAACATGGCTTCCTGAACACAAAAATTATTATTGTATTGCAGATGGCATCTTATTTCGGATACACAGTGGTGGTATCAGATGTTAACAATGATGGGTAAGTTTCTAAGCACTTCCTCCCTGCTGTATGTTATGTGCATACATAAAAGATGTTACATATTTCCTTCACAGAACACATCCCTCTGTGCTTCCTGAACATGATAGAGGCCCTCTTGTTTTAACTGTTGGTTCAGGACAAGAGGATGCATCTAATAAAGAACTCTGTCATCTTATTTTATGTCTTGCTGAGATTTTCCACATCTGCCACTTCTAAAAAGAGGACAGTTTTGTTTGGTTTTTCTCTGATATTATTAAACAAATAGCCATTGGTCCTTCAGACACCACAGCCACAGTTAAGGGCTTGCTCACCTATTTCTCTTTGTGTCTAGAGGTTTTCCCTCCATGGGATATAATCATCAAGATTTTTCACAGTGATGAATTTTTCCTCCTTATGTTGCTCTAGCCAGCATATCACTAAAGTCCATAGAGAATATGTAATACTTTTATTTTTCAAATCGTGGCAGCAAATTACAGTTGCGCTTGAACTATACTCCACTACTGAACTGTGCTTGCATAGAAGTAACTGGATCAAAAGTAAATGATTGCACACCCCTTTGTTTTATCAAAGCACTTAAGAGATAATTTGTCAAAATATTAGACAAAACTCTTGGCCAAGGGTGGCAGTGAATGTGCAGGTCTGTAACATAAGCCTTTTTGAAACTGAAGCAGGGACCGTGAGTTCAAAGTAAACACTAGAGTGTAGAGGGTGGACAGAGTATATAGCAAGGGAAGGAGGGAGTACAGGAGGAGGAGGAAGGAGAGAGAGAGAGAGAGAGAGAGAGAGAAGAAGAAGAAGGAGGAGGAGGAGGAGGAGGAGGAGGAGGAGGAGGAGGAGGAGGGGAGGGGAGGGGAAGGGAGAGGGAGAACCTCTAAATTGAGATGTACTGTTCATCCATGTAACAAATGTGGTTGGAGAATCTCGTATAAAAGGTATCATTCTCAGGCACCCAAAGCACCGTACAAGTGAGACAGATGACTCTCTGCTCTCACAGAGATGACATGTTTTTGTACAAAGTAAGTATCTGAAGGATCCTTATTGTATTCCAGGATCAGAGCCAATCACTTTAGATAGATCTTTAATAGGTTATTTCTCTCTCACATTAGCAACACTAGAAATATACTTTACATATCGTGGTGTGACATGGAATGGAGAACAATCAGTTCATTCTTGAAAATGCTTTTACTGCTATCTTCTTGTTGGACATGCTTTTGTTGTCCACTATGCATTGGCTGAGTGCTGCTCTACCGTGAAAATCATGTTAGAGCTGGGGAGATAGGAGACACTACTCCAAATTAATAAGTCAAGTGAAGAGCCTGTCAGATGGTGGTATCTTCTTCAGAAGAACTAGAAACAAAGATGTCTCCAGTAGACAAGTGAATAAACAAGATATAGTAAATCTAGAAAATAAGGCTTTAGTCTGCATTATAAAAGATGAGAGCTTTCAAAAAAAGAAAGGAAGGAAGAAAAAGAAAGAGAGAGATAAAGACAGACAGAATGAAAGAAAGAAAGAAAAAAAGAAAGAAAGAAAGACTCACATTACGAAGTGAAAGAAGCCAAGCTGAAAAAGATATGTACTGTATATTGCAATGATTATTCTGCAAATTGAAAGCTGTAAGAATATCAGTTCTTGCTCAAGATCCTAGACGGTAGGAAAGGAAGAAGGAGTAGAACACAGAGCACTATCAACCAAAATAAACATATAAGATACAGTTGTTGCCTAGTCGCTAAACCCCATAAAGTTAAAGGCAACATCCCTGAGTTCCTGGTAAACTAAGCACTTGGATAATTATTCCTGAATGTTGGTTTGTTGTTTCATTAGTGTCCTCTATAATAGGAGACACAGGGGTAGAGAAGGCGACCTGTCAGAGAGCAACACAGACCTCAGTACTTTCTGCTCCAATTTACTTTGAATCTAAACCTGATCTATAAAATGAATTCTACTGACTCTAATTTGTAGAGGAAAACAGAGAGGACATATTGGGAAGGATGCTGTTTCGAAGCAAACACGTGATAAAAGTCTGTATGAGAAGATAACACCAAGACAGGACTGTAGCATGAGAACCAAGAAAGCCATAAGTAGAAAGGAGTTCCCTGCCAAATGGCAAGAGTATAAATTCCCAGAGGTGGGAGTTTCTGGAATATTTTAGAAATGATAAAGGGGCTTGAAGAATGATGAGAACTTGGATTATGAAAGGTATAGATCCCACTGTGCTTAATAGACATGGCTACATAACATCGCAGGGAGGGGAAAAGGAATCTGCCTCCACGGGAGTCATTCTCCTGTGAACTACTGGGGATTTTTTTCTCACAGATGAAGGGCCCAGAGATTTTCAGTGTTCTAATAATTTGCTGTTTTTAATTACTTGGATACTGTGAAATTTAAGGTCCCATCACAAATAAATGTATTCTGGAAGCAAATGGGATTGATCAAAGGCAGATCCATGATAGAGCTGGACAACAAAAGTGATATCTAAGATCACAATGGTAGTGGTTTATATAGTTTACTCAGAGAGCCAAGAAAATTACTTAGGTAGGTGATGCATGTTTAGGAGGGCCACACCCCTTTAACACATACATATTCAGTGTTACTTTCTTACTCTGTGTGTCTCTCTCTGTCTTCTGTCTCTGTCTCTCTCTCTCTGTGTCTCTCTCTCTCTCTGTGTCTCTCTCTCTCTCTCTCTCTCTGTGTGTGTGTGTGTGTGTGTGTCTGTCTGTCTGTCTGTCTGTCTGTCTGTCTGTCTGTCTGTCTCTGGACGGAACTAGACTTTTTCCACACCAAAAGATTACTAGGTACCATTGTGTGTGAGACTGATAATGAAGATTGCTTGGTAACACACATGTTCATCTGGTATACAACAGAACCAAGGTTCTTACCAAAATCTAAACATCAGGAAAGAAAACAAGGTGACATTATGCAAGATGACAAGGTAATGATTGATGCTGATTTTACCATAAGCATTTATATAATGCATGTGTTTATTTTTAGGTAGATTTTTGCCTTGTTACCAGGCTGCCCTTAAACTCATGACCCTCCTATCTCAGGCTCCCTAGTTCTGGGCTTACAAATATTCATCACCACAGATAAATATTTTTATTTAGAAAAAAGTCTACCAGTATTATAAATGGATTCCAAACATTTAGACCACACAGTTGAGTACGCACTGGCTGGTGGGGAATATTATCAAGTCTGTCATAGTTTTTGAATGATGATATATAAAGATTGACAGAACTAACCTCAGTTTTTGTTTCTTGATGCAGCTCATACTATGAATTCATCTATGTAAACTTTCTTATGAATTTCTAGAATGGAAAATGGAGACAGTAATTTTCATTATATTTGTAGATAAGAGAATCTGTTTTAATTTCTCATTGTAGTAATTGAACTGTGGAGTATTACTTATCCTTTTCAGAAACTCAGAGAATTAAAATTGAAGCCATGGATATTTCCACACTCATTGTTTATAGCTTGGACAAGACCAAAGGAGACACCTTTCAACAGACTTTTAGCCATCAGTGAAATTGACAACACTTTGTAGAGAAACTTTTTGAAAGAAAGTAGCTTATAATTTTAAGCTGGATTCAGTCCAAATATTTTTTATTCACATAGGAGAAATTGTTATGAGTAAATTAGGTAGAAAATTAAAAAAACATAAAAAGGTTATAAGTTAGGTTCATTTGACTAGGGTAACTAGCTGACCTGCCTTTCCTAGTGCCTATCACAGTTAGGTTGCCTTAATATCAACTCTGCAGCCCACTGTTCTGAATTCCTTTAATAAGCAAATTCACTATGAATATTAATGCTAGGTATTAGCATACAAATTTTACTCCTGGAGAAAAAGAAGGGGTTCCTATATTAAATTAGCATGATAGCTCTCATCTGCAGGAAATATATATTCTGATGCCTCATATTTGATGTTCTCAGTGTATTCTCTCATGCTTTATCACAAATGGTAACTGTGATGTCCTGTTTCACATGTCACTTGAGGAAGAGATGTTGACCCTTTCATTATATTAGGTCATCAGAGTCGATTTAGACATAAATAAGAGAGAAAATTGAAACCTATATGCTTCACAGAGGTGTTTAAGTAGAACATACTTAAACTTAACGCCTTTCCGATAAAATGACGTTGATACGCTATCTTACCTCCATGAAATACCTATCCTAAGGAAGTTAAATCTCACTTATACCACCACTAAAGGAAATAGTTTAAGTAAAAACACATCTTTAACACCATTTATTCATAACTACCTTATTAAAAACATTTGAACATATTTAAAAATCTTTCTATACGTATTCTTTTGGAATATGCACCAGCCTGCCATACACCGTTACTGATCAGATGGTCATCAAAAGTCATCTATGCTAGTAAGTACTTCAGATTTTTGAACTTGAATTGTAACACACAAGTAAAGGATTTGTCCACATACGATGGCTTACTCTTATAATTCCAATGCTCCAAAGCTGAGGCATGAGGATCATGAGTTCAAGGCCAGTATTGGCTACATAGCAAGACCTTATCATTAAAAGCACAGAGTTTAGTACCTATCGTCCATAATATCAAAGGCATTTGCCAGCAGGGACTATAGGTGGTAGAGTGCTGGACCAGTGTGCAGACGCTCTGGGTTAGAGTACCCCAAAAAATCAGGCAGGGTAGCATATGCCTGTAATCCTAGCAGCTGGGAAGTGGAAACAGAAAAATCAGAAGTTTAAAGTCATCCTTGGCTATATAACAAATTCAAAACCAGCTTGCACCCTACCTAGAAAGGAAATACATTTGCATCATACCCCAGCACACACACACACACACACACACACACACACACACACTCCTTATCCTCATTTTGTATAATGCATTTACTCTGTTTTCTATTATTATAATCATTTTTTAAAACAAAAATCTGTTTTGGGAACCCATTCAGTCTATTTCAAAATCTTTTTTTGTTATAAATTGATTTGCCCATTATCTCAGGCTTTTTATTAACTCTTTTTGTTTTTG